GGTCTTCCCTCTAACCTGTCTCCCTGGTCTTCTCTCTAACCTGTCTTCCCTCTAACCTGTCTTCCCTCTAACCTGTCTTCCCTCTAACCTGTCTTCCCTCTAACCTGTCTTCCCTCTAACCTGTCTTCCCTCTAACCTGTCTTCCCTCTAACCTGTCTTCCCTCTAACCTGTCTTCCCTCTAACCTGTCTTCCCTCTAACCTGTCTTCCCTCTAACCCGTCTCCCTGGTCTTCCCTCTAACCTGTCTCCCTCCATGTTGTCAGTATTTCAACAGGCGCCTCAACAGTGGCCTAAACAACACGGTGTGGAGCAATGGCACAGTGGTGGCCCACAGAGAGTACTATTTTAACAACTGGATGACGCTGCTCTCTCAACTTCCCCTCCTGCTTTGTACTCTCCTGAACTCCTTCTTCTATCAGCGGTGAGGCAGGATTTATCTCTCAGGTTAACACATTTGTTTGCCATGTGACTAAGAGTGCCTTACTCATTGTGAGAACATACACTGCTTTGATTGGTAATGGTTGTGGTCATGTTAAGGTGACCACTGTCCCAAATACGTGATGCCATCCTGTCTAAAAGTGACCTCACACTGTCTTGGACTTCTCGCCATCCCAACAGGAACTAACCGTGTGTGTGTGTGTGTGTGTGTGTGTGTGTGTGTGTGTGTGTGTGTGTGTGTGTGTGTGTGTGTGTGTGTGTAGGATATCAGAGGTGGTACGGCTAGCGGGCAGCCTGATCTTCATCCTCCTCCTCTTCATCCTTACTGCAATTCTGGTCAAGATCCCGATGGAGGAGGACCGCTTTTTCTCTGTTACTATGGCCACCATCTGGTTCATCAACTGTGAGTAGGACATTTGTGTGTGTGTGTGTGTGTGTGCACGCGCAGTGTATTAATACACCCTCTCTTTTTCTGTCTCACTCTCTCCCTCTATCTTTGTCGCTCTCGGTCTCTCTCCCCCTGTAGCATTTGGAGCTGTGTTACAAGGCAGTCTATTTGGCCTTGTGGGTCAGCTACCTCAGCAGTACAGCGCTGTGTTCATGAGTGGCCAGGGACTGGCAGGGACATTTGCTGCTATTGCCATGCTAATTTCCATAGCCGGTGAGTCAAACAAACCTGTGACTGTTCCCACAAATTACCTCAGGAAAAGAAGTCGTAGCTCAAATCGGAGATGACCACTGTTCACTGGCTGACCGGTCAATTCCGCTTCCACCCGCCATTTCTCTCCCACCCGCCATTTCTCCCACCCGCCATTCCACTCCCACCCGCCATTCCACTCCCACCCGCCATTCCGCTCCCACCCGCCATTCCGCTCCCACCCGCCATTCCGCTCCCACCCACCATTCCGCTCCCACCCGCCATTTCGCTCCCACCCGCCATTCCGCTCCCACCCGCCATTCCGCTCCCACCCGCCATTCCGCTCCCACCCGCCATTCCGCTCCCACCCGCCATTCCGCTCCCACCCGCCATTCCGCTCCCACCCGCCATTCCGCTCTCACCCACTGAGTTAACTAATGAACTTCAGTGAACTGACACACCAAACCGACTAAAAGACACCCGTGGTTCTCTGACCTCTCATTTTGCTTCCCTGCGTGTGTGCCAGGTGACACAGACCTGGAATCCACCGCTCTAGGTTATTTCATCACCCCGTGCGTAGGGACCTTGGTCACACTCATCAGCTACCTCCTGTTGCCTCGGTTGGTAAGTCACCCGCCTCTAACAGAATATAAAAGAGCTACTGATCTAACAGACAGGTTGGGCCCTCCGGGACAGATCTGGTATCTCTCTGGACTACAGCTGATCAGCACGCAATGTGACGTCACTAGGTGGTACTTAAAGAATCTTTGTGTATGGGTTGTATACAGAAAATGGCTAGTATTCCCCAGGGCACTAGCTGAGCATATGGCAGAATCATGTGACCATAGGATGTTCTTTCAGAGGGCGGAGAGATATGTGGTTATATATCTATTTAACTATCTATCTAGGGATATGTGCGCTGGAAAGCTTCAACATCAACGTGCTTGATAAAATTTTGTTATTTAAAAAAATAATTAATTAAAAACTTTCAATGGAGATCTGGGTATCTAAAAAGCCTTGCTTGCTTTTTTCTTGTCGACTGTGTATTTGACTCACTGCTGACTCCCTCCTGTAAATAGGAATGGGATTACTGAGTCAGAACTCAAATGTCTCCGCTGCTCGAAAGAAAGCCGACTCCACCGCTCGTTGATGTATGCATGCCAACAATGAAACCGCCTTTAGCAATCCGTGTTCTCGATCAATTGGTCTCATTTTTCTCATCTCTTCTGGTCTCACTAGGAGTTTGCCCAGTTCTACTTGGACAGAAACAGGAGCAACGAGGTGGAGACCACAGGTGTGCTGTTGAACGGTAAAGTGGGTGGAAGATATGAGTCATCCATTTGTGCTCAATGCCAGTAACTCACACATATTCACTACTATGCTTGCAACACTATCCTCTATACACACACACACACACACACACACACAACTGCCCTCCCTCACTGAATACTGTGCAAGTTGAACTGGGCCAAGAATGTTGAGGCAAGAATCAACCATCCAATATCTAACCATCCTACATGCATTCTTTGAGGTCTGTCTACTCCCTACTACCTAAAGAATAACTCAATATATGCTCCCCAATTGGAACTTACCTCCACCTGCCTGCGAACCAAACATGTTCACCCTGAATGGGTCGGGTTAGAGTGTAGCAAAAATATCTTGGCATTTAGTTGGACGTCAGAGAAGACACCACCAAGTGACTGTAGGGGGATTCAGAGTCTGGCCATCTAAGGAGTTCTACACTGACAGGAACGTCACCCTACAACTGGTTAATTGTGATTGGAGAGGCCACACTGATTTTAAACGAGCAGACTGTTTTACATTCAGGTCCTGGTTTGATCTGATTCAGCGGCCCATTAACCGGGCACAATCTCATTCATTCAGCTACAACAGCAGTCCACAGCTCCCAGACACAGAGTGCTCTGTGGAACTGTGACATACTCCAACACTGTTTAACCGTTGGAGCTGGTTGCTGTTCGTGTAAATGGGTGTTTCCATGCACATGAAGGAAAGAACACAGACACCCGTAGGGTGTTAATTTCTTGGTACCACTAGTTTCAGTGGGTCAACCTCTGGCCCCACAAGTTCCTGTGTGCTCTAGCATCCTGGTCACTCACTTTGCATAAAGTTACCAAAGGTGATTTGCCAGTGTTTGGTCCAGTGATTATCCCCCCCGACCCATTTCCTGTTCTCGTTCATCTGGCAGAGAGCACCACAGTGGACAACGACAAGCCGAACGGCCATACGGCCAACCGGATTGTTGGTGATGAGGTGGTTGAGGAAAGTACAGGGATCTCTTCAAATCAGGCCTTCCTACACCTGGAGCAGGCTGAAGACGGAGACAAGAAGTCCAGCGTCATGGAGGTGTTCAAAAAGGTATGGCTGTCCCTCTGTTACTCCGTTGTGTTTAAGCAGAAGCACCTTTGTGTTCTGGATGGACAATGTGGTTACCGTTCTTGACTCTTCTTTCAAGGTTTGTGCTCATTTCCTCTGCCACTGGCAAAAAAACAACAAGTAAATCAATCAGCAATACGCCCAGGTTAAAAAGAAGGCCCTTAGTACGCCTCAGTCTTTTCTGTACATTGTTAGTTAAATGAAACCGGATTTCCAGTTACAGCAAATATGAGTGCTGGTCCATGCAAAATGACTGGGCTAGAGAGAACCTCCTGGTTGATGAGGAGGTGGTCGCAAAATGACTGGGCTAGAGAGAACCTCCGCCCTACCCATCTGCCTGTCTCTCATCAGATTTGGGTGAAGGCCTTCTGCGTGACGTTCGTCTTCACCGTCACCCTCGCCGTGTTCCCCGCCGTCACTGTGGACGTAAAGACCATATACCCTGGGAAATGGGGTATGGGAAGATGACACTGCCTGTTTACTGTGCACGTGCCTGTCGTGTTCAGCACCTGTTAACCCTCTATGTCCCTCCGCCGTCAGAGCCGTTCTTCATCCCTGTGTGCTGCTTCCTCTTCTTCAACCTGGGCGATTGGTTTGGCAGGACCATCACCAGCCTGGTTCAGTGGGTAGGTGCCTGGTGTTGGTGGACCTCGTTACCTGTGGTCTTTTGAATCTATTGCCAATATATTGTTTCCACCACTGAGGGAAAGGTTCAGTTTGTAGCGTTGAGCTGTGGTTGTTATTGCGGTGAGATAAAATGTGTCTAACATTTAGCTCACTGTGTGCTTCATGCTCTATATGCTTTTAATGCTCTGCATGTTCCCCGTGCTCTTTATGCTCTACATGCTCTTTATGCTCTATATCCTCTATATGCTTTTTATGCTCTACATGCTCACTGTGCTGTTTATTCTCTACATGTTCGCCGTGCTCTACATGCTCTTTATGCTCTATATGCTCTACATGCTCTTTATGCTCTATATCCTATATATGCTTTTTATTCTCTACATGCTCACTGTGCTGTTTATGCTCTACATGTTCGCCGTGCTCCACGTGCTCTTTATGCTCTATATGCTCTTTATGCTCTATATCCTCTATATGCTTTTTATTCTCTACATGCTCACTGTGCTGTTTATGCTCTACATGTTCGCCGTGCTCCACGTGCTCTTTATGCTCTATATGCTCTACATGCTCTTTATGCTCTATATCCTATATATGCTCTACATGCTCTTCATGCTCTATGTCCTCTATATGCTTTTAATGCTCTACATGCTCTATATCCTCTATATGCTTTTAATGCTCTACATGCTCTATATCCTCTATATGCTTTTAATGCTCTACATGCTCTTTATGCTCTATATGCTTTTAATGCTCTACATGCTCTATATCCTCTATATGCCTTTAATGCTCTACATGCTTTACATGCTCTTTATGCTCTATATTCTCTATGCTTTTAATGCTCTACATGTTTGGTGTGCTTTTTATTCTCTACATGCTCACTGTGCTGTTTATGCTCGCCATGCTCTACATGCTGGAGTATGCTCTACATACTCAGTGGTAGAGTGCATGCTCTGTATGCATGACGTCCTGGGTTCGATCCCCAGCTTCTTCACCTACCTGGTTAAATAACGGTTAAATAAAATAGTTTTTTTTTTTTAAATGTTCTTCATGCTCTACATGCTCTTCTCAATCTCTGTGCTTACCAGCCACCCAAGGAGAGTCGTCTGTTGCCGGTGCTGGTTGTGTGTCGGGTGGTTTTTGTACCATTGCTGATGCTGTGTAACGTCCAGAAACGCTCCTACCTGCCGGTTCTGTTCCACCACGACGCCATCTTTGCCGTGTTAATGGGTTTCTTCTCAATCACCAGCGGCTACTGTGTCTGCCTGTCCATGTCCTACGCTCCACAGTAAGTCTCACACACACAACCCGTACATAGCAGGCTGCTGTCATAGCTATCATTCATATAAACACTGAAAAACGACTTAATTGTAGACTGTGTATCCTGTGGGGTCAGTCTTTGTCTTTGTTTGAATACATCATACATAAACTATATCAAATACAAACAGCTGTTGAAGTGGACTCTGTTCTTGTTTTTCAACCTAATGTTGTCTAATTCATTATTCTTGGATTGTGTAGTAAGGGTTTCTTTAGAGAAACACACACACACACACACAGATCTTTAATTAAAGACAGAGCAGAGACTCAACTTGGATCTTAGAGAACATCACCAGCTAAGCGCTTGTGTGATGCTGTTGTGAAACCAATTCTGCAACATGCACAGATCGATACCAAGTACAATGGTCAGTAAACAAGCTGATTAGAAAACGGTCAGTTGTGGGTGTTGACAGAAGGGGGCTGTTTGAGTTCCTGTGGTAACATGTACCGCAGCTTTATAAAATCAACAAGAACATTCCATTTATTTTTTTTAAACATTTTTGTAAAGACAGTTGAAAAAAACTAAACTTTCATCTAAGTATTTTTAGAGCCTAAGGCCTTATTAGGGAAGGAATGTGATAAAAAGATTTGGATTTGTTTTAAGTTCTGGGAAAATATATAATGTGTTCATATTACCTATTCGGTTCCATTTTGCTGCATTGTGCTTCTGAATACACACCGGGGCCTCTGTAAGCCTCTCCCTCTTATATGTATGACACCCCAGGGCCTCTGTAACCCTCTCCCTCTTATATGTATGACACCTCAGGGCCTCTGTAACCCTCTCCCTCTTATATGTATGACACCCAGGGCCTCTGTAACCCTGTCCCTCTTATATGTATGACACCCAGGGCCTCTGTAACCCTCTCCCTCTTATATGTATGACACCCAGGGCCTCTGTAACCCTCTCCCTCTTATATGTATGACACCCAGGGCCTCTGTAAGCCTCTCCCTCTTATATGTATGACACCCCAGGGCCTCTGTAACCCTCTCCTCTTATATGTATGACACCTCAGGGCCTCTGTAACCCTCTCCCTCTTATATGTATGACACCCAGGGCCTCTGTAACCCTCTCCCTCTTATATGTATGACACCTCAGGGCCTCTGTAACCCTCTCCCTCTTATATGTATGACACCCAGGGCCTCTGTAAGCCTCTCCCTCTTATATGTATGACACCTCAGGGCCTCTGTAACCCTCTCCCTCTTATATGTATGACACCCAGGGCCTCTGTAACCCTGTCCCTCTTATATGTATGACACCCAGGGCCTCTGTAACCCTCTCCCTCTTATATGTATGACACCCAGGGCCTCTGTAACCCTCTCCCTCTTATATGTATGACACCTCAGGGCCTCTGTAACCCTCTCCCTCTTATATGTATGACACCTCAGGGCTTCTGTAACCCTCTCCCTCTTATATGTATGACACCTCAGGGCCTCTGTAACCCTCTCCCTCTTATATGTATGACACCTCAGGGCTTCTGTAACCCTCTCCCTCTTATATGTATGACACCTCAGGGCCTCTGTAACCCTCTCCCTCTTATATGTATGACACCTCAGGGCCTCTGTAACCCTCTCCCTCTTATATGTATGACACCCCAGGGCCTCTGTAACCCTCTCCCTCTTATATGTATGACACCCAGGGCCTCTGTAACCCTGTCCCTCTTATATGTATGACACCTCAGGGCCTCTGTAACCCTGTCCCTCTTATATGTATGACACCTCAGGGCCTCTGTAACCCTCTCCCTCTTATATGTATGACACCTCAGGGCCTCTGTAACCCTCTCCCTCTTATATGTATGACACCTCAGGGCCTCTGTAACCCTCTCCCTCTTATATGTATGACACCTCAGGGCCTCTGTAACCCTCTCCCTCTTATATGTATGACACCTCAGGGCCTCTGTAACCCTCTCCCTCTTATATGTATGACACCCAGGGCCTCTGTAACCCTCTCCCTCTTATATGTATGACACCCAAGGCCTCTGTAACCCTCTCCCTCTTATATGTATGACACCTCAGGGCCTCTGTAACCCTCTCCCTCTTATATGTATGACACCTCAGGGCCTCTGTAACCCTCTCCCTCTTATATGTATGACACCTCAGGGCTTCTGTAACCCTCTCCCTCTTATATGTATGACACCCAGGGCCTCTGTAACCCTCTCCCTCTTATATGTATGACACCCAAGGCCTCTGTAACCCTCTCCCTCTTATATGTATGACACCTCAGGGCCTCTGTAACCCTCTCCCTCTTATATGTATGACACCTCAGGGCCTCTGTAACCCTCTCCCTCTTATATGTATGACACCTCAGGGCTTCTGTAACCCTCTCCCTCTTATATGTATGACACCCAGGGCCTCTGTAAGCCTCTCCCTCTTATATGTATGACACCTCAGGGCCTCTGTAACCCTCTCCCTCTTATATGTATGACACCCAGGGCCTCTGTAACCCTGTCCCTCTTATATGTATGACACCTCAGGGCCTCTGTAACCCTCTCCCTCTTATATGTATGACACCTCAGGGCCTCTGTAACCCTCTCCCTGTTATATGTATGACACCCAGGGCCTCTGTAACCCTCTCCCTCTTATATGTATGACACCTCAGGGCCTCTGTAACCCTCTCCCTCTTATATGTATGACACCTCAGGGCCTCTGTAACCCTCTCCCTCTTATATGTATGACACCTCAGGGCCTCTGTAACCCTCTCCCTCTTATATGTATGACACCCAGGGCCTCTGTAACCCTCTCCCTCTTATATGTATGACACCTCAGGGCCTCTGTAACCCTCTCCCTCTTATATGTATGACACCTCAGGGCCTCTGTAACCCTCTCCCTCTTATATGTATGACACCTCAGGGCCTCTGTAACCCTCTCCCTCTTATATGTATGACACCTCAGGGCCTCTGTAACCCTCTCCCTCTTATATGTATGACACCTCAGGGCCTCTGTAACCCTCTCCCTCTTATATGTATGACACCCAGGGCCTCTGTAAGCCTCTCCCTCTTATATGTATGACACCTCATGGCCTCTGTAACCCTCTCCCTCTTATATGTATGACACCCAGGGCCTCTGTAACCCTGTCCCTCTTATATGTATGACACCCAGGGCCTCTGTAACCCTCTCCCTCTTATATGTATGACACCCAGGGCCTCTGTAACCCTCTCCCTCTTATATGTATGACACCCAGGGCCTCTGTAAGCCTCTCCCTCTTATATGTATGACACCCCAGGGCCTCTGTAACCCTCTCCTCTTATATGTATGACACCTCAGGGCCTCTGTAACCCTCTCCCTCTTATATGTATGACACCCAGGGCCTCTGTAACCCTCTCCCTCTTATATGTATGACACCTCAGGGCCTCTGTAACCCTCTCCCTCTTATATGTATGACACCCAGGGCCTCTGTAAGCCTCTCCCTCTTATATGTATGACACCTCAGGGCCTCTGTAACCCTCTCCCTCTTATATGTATGACACCCAGGGCCTCTGTAACCCTGTCCCTCTTATATGTATGACACCCAGGGCCTCTGTAACCCTCTCCCTCTTATATGTATGACACCCAGGGCCTCTGTAACCCTCTCCCTCTTATATGTATGACACCTCAGGGCCTCTGTAACCCTCTCCCTCTTATATGTATGACACCTCAGGGCTTCTGTAACCCTCTCCCTCTTATATGTATGACACCTCAGGGCCTCTGTAACCCTCTCCCTCTTATATGTATGACACCTCAGGGCTTCTGTAACCCTCTCCCTCTTATATGTATGACACCTCAGGGCCTCTGTAACCCTCTCCCTCTTATATGTATGACACCTCAGGGCCTCTGTAACCCTCTCCCTCTTATATGTATGACACCCCAGGGCCTCTGTAACCCTCTCCCTCTTATATGTATGACACCCAGGGCCTCTGTAACCCTGTCCCTCTTATATGTATGACACCTCAGGGCCTCTGTAACCCTGTCCCTCTTATATGTATGACACCTCAGGGCCTCTGTAACCCTCTCCCTCTTATATGTATGACACCTCAGGGCCTCTGTAACCCTCTCCCTCTTATATGTATGACACCTCAGGGCCTCTGTAACCCTCTCCCTCTTATATGTATGACACCTCAGGGCCTCTGTAACCCTCTCCCTCTTATATGTATGACACCTCAGGGCCTCTGTAACCCTCTCCCTCTTATATGTATGACACCCAGGGCCTCTGTATCCCTCTCCCTCTTATATGTATGACACCCAAGGCCTCTGTAACCCTCTCCCTCTTATATGTATGACACCTCAGGGCCTCTGTAACCCTCTCCCTCTTATATGTATGACACCTCAGGGCCTCTGTAACCCTCTCCCTCTTATATGTATGACACCTCAGGGCTTCTGTAACCCTCTCCCTCTTATATGTATGACACCCAGGGCCTCTGTAACCCTCTCCCTCTTATATGTATGACACCCAAGGCCTCTGTAACCCTCTCCCTCTTATATGTATGACACCTCAGGGCCTCTGTAACCCTCTCCCTCTTATATGTATGACACCTCAGGGCCTCTGTAACCCTCTCCCTCTTATATGTATGACACCTCAGGGCTTCTGTAACCCTCTCCCTCTTATATGTATGACACCCAGGGCCTCTGTAAGCCTCTCCCTCTTATATGTATGACACCTCAGGGCCTCTGTAACCCTCTCCCTCTTATATGTATGACACCCAG